TCAGTAGTGGGTCTTAAAATATAAAAATTCTTTCTAAACTAAAACAACTTTCCAAAAAAAAATCACAAGAGGGTAGGTCGAAATTTTCTCAGAAGAGGCCAGGCTCCGTTGGCCTTAATTACGCCCACATTGATTAATATTTTGATTATAGCCCTCGTGTTAGCATACTCGACTTCTAGCAAACAATTATCTAGCGGCTGTTTAATTTAAAAAATGTTGCAATGGACACCTTTAAACCAGTGGTTCTAAGTGTTATCCGCGGCGCCTCTGGTTAATGGCAAAGGTGAATTCGTGCACCAGTTAACTAGCCCTCCCATGTACGGCCGACCTACAAGGATTTCGTGGTGGTTACATCAATTAAAAGTCCTTCCATAGCAACATAAAATTTTAACGCGACATTCCGTGAACTAAACCACATAATATCCATTTTATTGTCCTTATAACTCATGCGGTTTCACGTTTGGCGTGTGGCTATCGTAAAAGTTTGTGAGGCGCTCCCCCACAGAGGAGGCCCACCTTTATAAATCGTCATGTGTTTTATTGGTATACTGGGCGATGTTGTCGTCTTCGATTTATAGTCATCTCGAGAAAATTCTCTCTGACAGCGAGCGAAATTAGGATGAGTCATCGCATTACGCTGATTTGCATCTAATCTGAATAAAAGTGAGCGTATGTGCAGACTATTTTGTTCAAGTTTGAAATGAATTACAGTGATTTCGTGACTTCTGACCTCATATTAATATGTTTCGTTTCGGTCAGACGGCCAAATATAGATTTATTTATGCAACGATCGTAAAAAAACATGCATTAAATCGTACGAAAGATTATACATTCACCTTGTTTATCTTGTTTTGTAATAAGAGACGTAAGTACCTCATGAAAAAATGCGTTGCATTTACATAAAGACGAATAAATGTAAATGAAATATTTAATTTAATTTTATTACTGCAATAAAAACGCGCTTAATCATAACTTAAAGTGATTTTACAAATTTTATGTCGTTATTACGAAAGCGCAATTCGCCTCCCCACAAAGAAAATTATTCCGTTCTCTAGCACATTTTCCTACGATTTTACTATTGCGTGCTTTCACTCGTTTCAGTTTTAGGAATTTTTTCATTTTCAGGAGCGTTGCTCGCATTCGAATACCATCTTCCAGTTTTAATTGTGTAAAAAGACTGTCTATTTCCAGTTAATTTATAATTTAGATGCGAATAGTTGTAATGTCCTCGGGTTACAACTTGGTCGCTCCTGTGAGAGCTCATCTTGAAATTAAATAATAAATAAAACCTTTCCTTAATATCTTTATTTAAAACGGAAATTTTAAATGTCTCGTTTCTCTCCGCCATTAAAATAAATAGCCACCGTGGCTACTAAAAGCACGTCCAACTGCTCCAAGTTAAGTCATAAAAATTAATTATTATTATTATGATTGGATCTAAACACTGCGACCAAACGCACTTTCAATATCTTAGTGAAGCATGAAAATGGTCATTGTGTAGTGATAATTAATTTGTACTTAATATTTAAACAATAGACATTTAAAGCACCGGTAAGTAGATAATTGACGAGGCGGTCTTCTTTGTTCTCCATGAAGAATGGCTGTAAAATACAGTTTGAGCAGTATAAAGGCGGAACAGAATAATCATTTTCTAATAGCAAGCGGAACAAGTTCAATTACCAACATAAAATCATTAAAGTCTAACACTGTTGATACCACGATTCATTAGCAGAACAAGCGGAACAATATAGTTTTATAGAACGAAGACGTTTTATCGCCTCCTGAAAGCTTCTGTTGTAGCAGCTTCCAAATTAAATAACGATGAAACGATTTCATTTTATGGACCGTGCTGTATTGACAGTTGTCGGCACGTTCCCAGTGTCCAAATTTATTACTTATTTCTAGTATTTTGATATTAGTAAAAGCAATATGAGATCCAAAAATATGTTCTTGTACTAGTAACTTTTACTGAACTATTTATTGATTTTGGTAGCTAATTAGTACTAATTACGTTCTTATCAAAAGTTAAAGGTATTTTGAATTAATTCTAAGTAGCTAACTACATTTACTAATGCTAAAACCTTGGTAGAATCATTTGTGATTTAAATGAATAATGGTAATTTATGTCACAAGTGAAATAAAGCCATTATGACGAGCGTGATAACAATGCATTAGATCGTGTGCAACGTTGATAATATTATCTGCAAGCTTAAGAAGGCTTCAATTACAATTAGACAATTACGATACAGATAGAAAAAGGTAGTGGTGTAAAAATGTGCATTAGTACTGTAATGTAACTCATTACCTATATCAGATGAGCCGAACAAGTTAAGTCCGACGTGTTATTAGAGTAAACAGGGTGTACTACAGTGCACAGGACTGAATCTTTGTCTTTTCTGTATTCTCTCTAATGATTCTTTGTATGTTAACAGAGTTCATTCGCTCTTGCCAAAAATAAACTCTGTCCTTTCCCGAAACGAATTTTTTTCAGCAAACCATTAAATCTTGCCATTTTATTAATGAACCAGCTTAATTTGACTGCGGTGCCCTCTGCTCCAAAGACCACACCTCGCCGTTCCTACAGCCACTATTAGTCTTCCATGGACTCCTGCTCAAGCTGTGATTCTCTATGATTTAGGTAAAGTTTTCGGTGTACGCCGCAGGATAGCACGCGATATCAATATAATATCGTTGGGAGAAGTCGTAGATCAAGTCTTCGGCGATGGTCGCACATAATTTAACCATTTCCACGAGGTGGATTGCGACGTTCATCGATCACGGTGTGCGCAGATCAGTGACATAATAGAACGTTCCACATTGCCAGCTTTATCAAAACACCATCCATAATTCAAGAGCAGCCCGGGATGCTCTTGCATTCCCACGATGTACCTGGACCTTCTTTATCTTGTTTTTTTGAAAGGCGACGCTCAAGACAAATTCTGCGGAAGGAGAAGAAAGTGTCTTCGAGCTCTATCGAAGAATAATAAATATGCCTGTAATGTCAGGCAGTAAATTTGAAATTTGCGCGTACAAAGGAGGGTTTTCCTGCTACTTCTGGCTTTAATTTGAGTATCAGCGACCTCGACAAAGCTGAAACAAATAGGCAAAAAATGTATTGGCAGATTGTGAATATTCCCACAGTAACTCTGCACGGACCCTATTTTTATGCTGTGCCTCGGGACGGGCCAACCTGAAGCCGGTCCCGACGAATTAAATTTAAATACAAGTTTTTATAGTACGTTACAGAGTTGCAGATTTCATCGCCCACTTACATAATTAAAAAAAAAAAAACTGCAACACGTGCACATGTAGGTGCCTGTCATAAAAAAACAAATGTCAAATTGTCTTTCTAATTCTTTGTAAAAATCGCGGCGTACAAATAAACTGAAACGAAAAGCTTTGCGGCCAAATAATAAAAATACTAAATACAGCTTGAATTTTGGCATGTTGGTCAATCGAGCGGTTTGGCAAGGTTATGAGGAAATACCGCCGCAGGTCCTCGTTGTGCCGTCGCTATCGGTAACGGCGTGTTACGCAGCAGGGATGTCCTTATAGGGTAAGAAGTTTACCTACTAGTGTCCAGCGCCTTCAGCGCTTCCTTTTTTTGACGGTTCACTCAATTTAGACCGCTTTCGGAGGTGCAAATTTAATTATTTATGAAATAGAAAGCGCTAGTTATATTTTTTACGTTGTACCGACTTTACACTTTCTTCATCACGATTTGATAATAATCGACCTCATATGGAAATCCATTTTATAATATAAAAATTATTATGCTTTTATGCTAAACAGGTATTGAGAGGTTTCAAAACTTTGGTTAGTGTTGGAAATATAATGATTGTTGTGTTGTTTTAATTATTGTTGCGAAAGGTGGCTTGTTAGGTGCTTCGATTAATCTATGGCTTTCCACATATGGTGTTTGTAGAGAAGGAAAATACAGTTATTTTGCAACTGATTGTGGATTCACAGGAGACGAGTGAAACAATACAATGACCAAAATTTAGAGGAAACTAAAAACTCTGATTTTTTATATCAGAATTCAGTGGTATAGAACATTTGTAATTGATTTGTTACAAGAGATTAATATTTTAAAAGATACACGTGTTGCAATTCGATTCGAAGTTAATTTCTTTCTTTTGTAATGCTTTATAGCTTTGAAGTTCGTTACATAATTAATAGATTACAATCGATAACTTCATTCCGAGAGTGGGTAACTTTACCAAAGGCACACACTTAATGAATAAAAAATTAAACAATATATCGACGGAAACCAACACAAGAATTTTTTAATCACCTTGTTATTAAACGTTTAAAAAAATCAAGTTCATCAAATATTCACAAAGTTATGATGGAAAATTTATATTGAGAGTAATTGCACGACTAGCTAGAAGGGGTGGAATGTCTTGATAAAAATTTCTAGACACGTATATACCTATATAAGAATAACTGAATAAAAACGTGTCATTTCAATCGTGTCTCTTATTCTGAAACAACAAACCGATATGGTGAATATAATACACAAAAGTTTTAGTTTAAATTTACAAGTGCTAAACGTAATGGGATTGTATTCCTATGGAAAGAGTTCTATGTTTTTGAAACTACGGGCTTACACTTTATATTTGGTATTGTTAGTGCTCACCACAATATCAATAATTATGAAAACTCTAACGTCGAGAAGCCCAAACAACATGGAAACGAATGCGATGCTGATATATATATCAGATTGTACTTCGATCTGTTTTAAGCTCCTGCCGTTCCTTCAAAATAGTGGAAACATTAAAAGGTGTATCAATTTTTTCGAAGAAAAGGATTTTGCACCAAAAACCGACCACGAAAATAAAATTATAGATGAGTGTATCCGGGTGTGTCACAGAAATTCAACTCTTTATTTTTATTCGGCTTTGTTGGCAGTTACTGGATGGAATATCCCTGCGTTCTTTGCTAAGGGACGAAAGCTACCGTTACGTCTGTGGTTGCCGTATGACCCTTCATCTACCAGCATGGACTACTATTTTACATTGATTTTCATTGCTGCAGGTATAAAAAAAACTATGTACATATACCAGAACCGAGATTTTCATTTTCAGCAACTGTGTATGATGGTTGTACCACAGTCATGGACCCATTGCTTGGTGGTCTGGTATATCATGCGACAGCCCAGCTAAAGATTTTGAAATATAACTTAGAGCATCTTGACAAGCATCTAGAAGATAACTGCAACGAAAGTAGTGAACATATCATCGAATTTCACTGTGTTCACAAACAGCTAGAAAGTTGTATTGATCACCATCAGCAAATTTTGTGGTAAATGTAGACACAGGTTACAATTTTATCTTTGTAAACAATTTTCAGGTTTATAGACGAATATGAAGAATGTTTCTCGTGGAGCATATTCTGCCAGTTTACTGGAAGTATGCTTTCTGTATGTTTTTGTTGCATTAGCCTAACCCTCGTTAGCTAAAATATTATTTTGACTTGAATCCTCTGTACTTTAATTTTTTTTTATAGGTTCCACTCAACAGCGTCGAAGCTTTGACATATGTTGTGGCGATATTTACTGTTAGTTTTCAAATACTATTTTACTGCCATTACGGTACACTGCTATATGAGGAGGTAAGGAGGTGCATAGGCCAACTGGCAAATTTATTTTCGCCATGCTGGATTTGTGTCTTTAGAATAATGAGCTAATCAACGCGATTTGTATGGGACCGTGGTATAAATATGACGCTGAAATTCGAAAAAGTTTATTAATTATAATGGAACGCTCTAAACGGCCACTGCTAATTACCGCTGGAAAAGTGGTAGAGGTTGTGATTGGAACATTTGTATCGGTGAGTTTTTGGCTTAGTGGTAAATGTTTTTAATTTAATTTTTTTAAGGTTTTGAAAACAAGTTATTCGTTGATTGCTGTTTTCAATAATTATAATTAAAATTGGCATAATCAGAATTTTTTTAACTTGATATTTATTTTCTTTAATTTTAACTTTTTGTTGTTTTTGAATTCGGTGTTAAAATATGTATTTATTTTTTGTGTATAATGTAGCCCAATCGTATCCCCTGTAGTCAATGAAAATTAATATGTGTGTTTAACCTTTTAAATAAATGTCATAACAATAGGGATAAAACAGATCTCTTAAAACCTATTAAACTTAATTGGGCTTGATGGTGCGTTGTTAAAAAAGAACTCTAAAAAATGGTTAAAATCCCTGCATTTAACGACAAAGCTAAAGAATTAACTTTGTCATTCTGATTTGTTTTAATGAAGTGCATTTTCTAGACAGTTTTAAATAATTAGTTATTAATAATTTAATACTAATTTCCTGGAATACCATCCACGTCATTTTATACTGTTGACTGATGTCATTTTTGACAATTATTACCGGAATTTTAGATATTCATTGAAATCCATTTTAAAATATATCAGAATTATGAAGTTAATTCTTCGATTTTGAAGTTTAATATTTTCAAAAATTTGGATCAGAGATTTTTCTAACAAAAAATTAAATTTAAATAATTACATCAGTGTAAGAGCTTTGAACGTTCGATATTAAATGCATTTCATAAAATTTTATACATCAATCCTACTACTTATCACATATTTCATCAGCATGATATCATTAAAACAATATTCAAGTATAAATTAAACAAAAAGTTCATTTACTTGTAGTTTCCTCTAATGGTAGGTAAGTACTGATTCTTTTGTCAACAAAGGTTAATTTAATAGGGTAAAGTCGGGAGAGTTGGACCACCTTTTAAAAAACTCAATATAATTCCTTTATTTAACATCTTAAAAAAATATAAAATTTACAAGAACATAGCTGAACATTTATTCTTTAAGGTACAAGTAATTTTTTTGTTCCAACACAATATGATAATCCATCAAAAAAAAAATGGTAAACGCTTGCATCGGTCCAACTATCCTGTCAAGGGTAGGACAGTCGGACCATTTTAGGTAGGATAAATATACCACCAAATTTTTACTTTTTCTTTTGTTAATAGTGTTTCCACAGGTTTGACAAAGGGCCTCATAGCTCGTACAACCCTCGTGTAACCATCTTTTGCATAGTACACATTATTGAATCCAAAAAAGAAGCCAACCATATTTTGCCCGCTATACCTAAAAATTAATAGTCATAGAGATGCAATACAAATCTACCTTGCGTTGGTTTTTCGTGTGTAATTGCTTGGCATTTTCTAAAAAATGGAACATAAGTCCATCTCTCTGTCACACCGTTGGACCATCTATCCTTTTATGTTAGGACAGAAGGACCACTACATTGCGGCACAACTAGGTGATAAAATCACGTAAAGTGAGGTTAAAATCAAAGACAAAGCTTCCATTAATTGCACTATCTATAACTTTTATATGCAAAGTTACCAGACTCCCAACAAACGTTATTGCAATCTAAGCGGCTGAAATTTCAGGCCCGCAAGAAAATTTTAATGTTGAATAACTCAAGACAATTAATTGAAACAAAAGTATTTTCACATGTCCCGACATGAATGCAGATAAATGCAACTGTAGTTCGCGGGAAATTTCAATTGTTGCAATAGGTTCAGAGTTATTGCTAATGGACCGTCTCTCCCACTGGTCCAACTCTCCTGACTTTACCCTAATTGTTTACATGGTTTAAAAATAATATAAAATGTTATAGTTACATATTTTTAATTATTACTAGTAGTTATGTCACTTGGAACACATCCCAGCCTGTAGCTGGTATAATATTTTTGCCTATTTTTTATACTACTGAATTTGTAGCCAAACTCATAATCATTGATGTCTAGAGAGCAGATTTATAAGCACAAATAAATTAAGAATAAGCGCTTAAATAAGCACAACATTTTCAATAAAAAAGTTTTATTTTAAGCAAAAAAGCATTAAAAACATAATCATATTACAAATCAAAGAACACTTCTTAGAACTTTGGATAAAATATTATTACAATAATCCTAGACTTTATATTTTACACACGTACCTACTATTTCAGTTTTCTTTAAAACAATTTATGATTGTAATATGTTCCAAGTTGTCCACTGTAAAATTTTTTTGCCGATCATTTAAAATGTGTTTAAAATTGGAGAATGTGCGTTCAACATCCACACTCGTTGTTGGCGCAAATTTGAATTTTGTAACTAATGTTGAATCTAACTCCAAATTTTCCACTTTCTGGCCTTGTAAAACACGAGCAACGTCGGAAAAAACACCGAAACCTACATTTTTATTTAACACTTCGTCAAGTTTTTGAGATACTCTAGTACCAATCTCACCCCTTACCGCGTTTGCTTGTTGTTTAAATTCTTTCACTAAGTTTATAGCATCTACCAACAACATGTTGGGTTTTTCTAACTTTTCTATTACCTCACATACGAATTGATAATTGCTTCTTAGAAAAGCTAGATCTTGTCGCAAATCTTTGTTTTCCAAAATATTTATGCAATCTTTAATCAATTGAGAAGAATCTTCGCTAAACTCCGTAACTACTTCCTCAAGTTCTTTGATATATTTGTCATAATAAAATGTGGCCTGTAACCATGTTCCCCACCTCGTTATAATCGGCTCTGGGGGCAATGGTATGTTTGGAATTTTTTCCTTAAAATGTTGCACTCTTAGTGGGGCTTTAACAAAAATCTTTTTACCATTTGTCACTAATTTATTAACAGTAGGAAACTGCAAACATATTCCTTCAGCCACTCTGTTTAAACCGTGGGCAATGCAAGTAGAGTGAATTCAATTGAGGTATAATATTTTTAGATTATTCCCTGCTTTCAACATATAACGAGCTGCATCCGAGGTCATCAATAAAATTTTATTCACCGGTACGGCATTTGGCAAAAATAGTGACGTAAGACTGTCATTTACAAATCTGGTAATCGTATTGCCATTTGTTTTATCTAACATTTTCAAACTTAGTACATACCCTCGACTAGGGAAATTTTCATCTAAGATTCCTACAATTAAACTTGCCACGTATCTTCCACGACCAAGAATTGAATCTCCGACGCTTGAAGTGTTGTGTTGTCACGGTGCACATCGCTCTCGATTTTAACAAGTTTATTATTATTATTATTATTACATTACTCAATCATGCCGCCGAAGAAAAATAGTAAAGAAAGTGGTGACGACATTAATTTTTATTTTAATGTAAACGATATAACATAAATAATTTCGGACACAGTAAAGGCGGAAAACAACATTTTATTGAAGAAAATCACCGAATTAGAAGACCGACTAAGTGATATGAGTGTTACAAATCAAAATCTACTATTATTACTGCAAACGAGACACTGTAAGTGCGAAATATCATGCGAGAAGAGTGGTCCAAATAAAGAAATAGAAGACGACATGAGCGACCTGGAGACATCAGATGATACGATTATCTCGATTCCAATAGATAAACAAGCAGAAAAACCTCAAAAAACCTCCACAAACAATGAGCAAAAGAAGAACCTTATCAAGTCGACAAAACCGATAAACACTAGAAAGGATGCAAAGAAAACTGCAAATATACGAGGGACGCTCGAAAATGCCACAAATTTTAAGGCAACCTCTCGGAAACTTTGGCTACATGTGGGACGCTGCGATAAAGATACCACAGTTAATCAGATAAAAAAGCATGTGAACGAGATCTGGAAGGAACACCGGTTCGAAGTGGAAAAACTATCATCGAAGGGATCCAATGCTTCCTTTAGGGTGAGCGTTGATTATCATACAGACCTAATACAAACCAATGTTCATCATCGTACAATTACGACCCAAATTGCTGGCCCAATGGTATTGTGGTTAAACAATTTAAATTTTTTCGAACAGCGCAAAAATCAACGGGAGTCTTTAGCAAATAAAAACTATGATCTTCTCTTATTAAACTGTCAAGCCATCACAGCAAATAAATGTGACATATTATATACGGATATTCTCCAAGAATATGGTAAGATAAAATTTTTGTGTCTTACTGAAACCTGTTGCACTGTTACCAACGTAGAAGCAGTACATATCCAGGGGTTTAAACTGGCAGCATCATTCTCCAGGAAAAATTTCAAGGGTGGTGGTGTTGGTATTTGGTGTGCTACTGACTTGTCGGTTAATGCGCTAAATTTAAATTTATCAGAGCATTGCGTGGAAAAACATTTTGAAATTTGTGGAATATCTTGGTCCTTTGGAGAGAAAAAAATATTCTTATTTACTTGTTACAGGTCTCCTAACAGCGATATTCAAATTTTTTACAATAATATTGGTATTATCTTAGATTTATACTTTAAAAGAAATAATTATTTTATACTTTGCGGTGACTTTAATATTGATCCAAAACGCGATAAAAAACAATTTGAGTACTTAAATCAAATTTTTGCGTCATTTGGTCTTACAAATAAAGTTAATCGTCCCACTAGAGGTATTAATACACTTGATCATCTTTTCACCAATCTCAGTAACTCTGATTTTTGCTGTATTCAGGATACTGTTTTGTTGGACCATAGAATTGCTTACTTTCAAACTGATTTGATAAAATTACAAAGTGATATAAGTTCTTATAAATTCACTCGCATATATGACGATTTGAAAATTCAAAATTTCTTAAGGGATCTTTATTATAAAAACTGGACACCTTTATACACATATAAGGACAGTACCGAAGCTTTTAATTACTTCCATAAAATTTTTATAAACTATTTGGAACAACATTTTCCTTTTAAAAAAATTAATGCTCGGGAAGGAAAATCCTGGTTAAATAACGAGGTCAAATTGTCCAGTACAAAACTAAGAGATTTATTTATGCTACAAAAATCTTTTAGTGAACTAGAACCGATCTATAAATTGGCTAAAGAGGAACATTGTGCTTTGATCAATCAAACAAAAAGAACATTTTATCAAAATAAACTTGATAAATCGGATAACATAACAAAGACTGCTTGGGGCATCTTCAATGCGGTAACA